TGTTTTCGCTGGCAGAGGGTTGCAGGAGGCAATCACAGCCAGAAACAGAGCTCGTGAGCCCGTTTTCGCTGACAGAGGCACCGTAGGCCGGTTCCTCATTATTTCCAGGGTGGCCCCAAGGGTCAGATTTAAGCACCCCACGGGTCGGATGTGGTCTGCGGGCCTTGAGTTTGATACCTCTGGATTAGAGAGTGGGGGAGAGGGAATTGTCCCACCAACATCAACTGAAACCAGGTAAATAGAAAGGAGTCCAGGAAGGAATTATGACACAATTATGACTCATTCTGAGCCCTCCACAGATCATACACAAGTGCAGCCAATGCCGACTCTGTTGATCAGGTAAAAACTATAGGAATGCAAGTTTAGGTTGAGTACATTGGTATACCTGCCTTTCCTAGCCTAGCATCAGGAAGATTTGTTGGGACTACAATTTCTAGAATTCTTAGCTATGTTTTCCTAATCCAACCAGAGGTTCAAGAAAGCTGGTATACAGAATTGTGCTTTGTATCAAAACAATCAACACTGATAGCAACCCTGGTAGCAAGGTTAAGAAAGAGAATCAGCAAGCATTCCAGGAGAAGAACGAAAGCTTGAATGCCTCTCAATGTTTTTGTCAAATAGGCTTTGACGCTCATTACCTTGAAGAGGGGTCAGCACTACCTGAGCAGAAGCAATAGAGGAAGCAAGGTAGGCCTCAGCAACAGGCATGGCAAATTTCATGCCAATATAGCTCTCTGCCAACTCAAGGATGAATTGAGGGCATACTGTACATAGATAAAAATGAGCAATGAAACCTTGTACATAAACTTATAAACTTAGAAGTAAATCCTATTGGGTTAATAAGAGTTGCTGTATATACTAATAACAATTTAAATCCTACCAATTACCATAATAATTACTTTCACCATAGAATTGCTGTAATCCAAAATTTATTTACTAGGGCAACAACAGTCAGATTTACCACACAGTGTGCATAAGATTATATTATTGATTATACATGGAATGCTGCAAACATAATAGACATTCTTATTGCAAATTAAGAATAATTAATTAATTAACAATAAACACCGCAAGGCTGTAGGGTAGAAAGTAGGGCTAGGCATAAATCCGCAGTTCAAAATTCTCTGCAGGGAAATTGAGTAGACAATTTGGCCGAATTTCTGCAGGGGGGAAAAAAAATCTCCAGCAATTTCTCAAAGATTGGACTTAGTTGGAGGAAGTCCAGGGAGAAAAGTCCTCACCTGATAAATGTCCTCTGGGGCACACTGGAGTGTCATGATTGCAGGCCAATGGACGGACAATGGAATGGTGAAATACAAGACGAACCCCTTGATCACTGCGTGACTCAGTGAATGCAAGAACACAACATTCCAGTTTTGGAAAAATCCACCTACACTTTCATCAAACTGAATAAAGGGGTAAAAAGCAAAAATGATTCTCTGCCCAGCACCAGTTAATATAACGAGGAAAACATAAAAAGCAGACTAATGGGGTTTCAAAGAGCAGATGCCCCCAGCTACACTGTGCGGCAAGGCACAAAATCCATATGCAGCTTGTGGGGAGGGTGTGCAGATTTTAAATGAAAGCAAACTGGTCATTCCACCAAAGATTTCCTATGACTGCCATTTTCTATTTCTTTGTTCCATTTATATGTGTGTGTATGTGGGTTTGTTTGTTTTTTTTGACTCAGTCCTTGCCATACTAATGAGTCTTTTTAGTCCTTTCCTAAATTCCCAGGTACATTTTATAGCTGTTCTGATTTCCCTGATGAGCACTTTTCTATCAGCCAAATAAGTCGATATGAGCAGCACATGGAACAGACGAGGCATCTACCAGCACTCCAGCCATAGATCTCACTGCTGCTGTGTGATCTGATAAATTATTGAACTGCCGCCATTGCCCCCCCCTCCCACCAGCCCCTGCACCAGCCACCTCAAGCAATAAATAAGCCATTTTAGAAATTTTGAAGGATTTCACAGAGATGTTACAGCGACAACTACATCTCAGGAAAATGTTATCAGGACTCTTAGGTTAAACAAATGCATTTACGGCTTTTAAAGAAAGGGAATTTTTATTGGTTTCTCTGGTAGTAAGTAGTGGATATAGCTGAAACAGAGATAGAGAGACCAGATTTCAATAATTCCCAAATAATTAAAAGGTAAAGGTAAAGGTTCTCCTCGCACATATGTGCTAGTCGTTCCCGACTCTAGGGGGCGATGCTCATCTCCGTTTCAAAGCCGAAGAGCCAGCACTGTCCGAAGACGTCTCCGTGGTCATGTGGCTAGCATGACTAAATGCCAAAGGCACACAGAACACTGTTACCTTCCCACCAAAGGTGGTCCCTATTCTTCTACTTGCATTTTTACGTGCTTTCGAACTGCTAGGCTGGCAGAAGCTGGGACAAATAACGGGAGCTCACCCCATTATGCAAAACTAGGGATTCAAACCGCTGAACTGCCGACCTTTCGATCGACAAGCTCAGTGTCTTAGCTACTGAGCCACTGTGTCCCAAATAATAATCCTTGTTACCTACTCTGCCTCACTTCCAAAACTATGCTGTGCATGTGTCACCAGTATACACATTCATCTGTTCATTCATTACATTTATAGTCCACCTTTCTTTTAATTGCTCAAGTCACCATGAACAATATTCCCTCCTTAAATTGTTCCCCACAGACCTCTGTGTAGTAGATAGGCTGAGAAAGCATGACTGACTCTAAGTTAGCCAACAAACTTCCCCGAGAGTCAATTTGAACTGTGGTCACCCCAGCTGTAGCCCACACCATCCAATAACTTTTCATAATTGCCTTCTTTTCATTCTGGAAAACAAACACGACACTGGACACAATAAAGCAGGATTGCGTTATATACAGAGTTTACAGCTCCTGAAGGATCAGAGTTGAAAGGGTCCTCAAAGATCATCAAAACCAACCTTTCATCAATGCAGAAAAGTACAACTCCATGAAAGAGAATTTGCCGATAGCTTGGACGTCAGAAGGTTCTGTGTGATTTCTGAACTAACCAGTTTCTTGTAACTGGAAGCCATTGGCTTTGAGCCTGATATCTGCAGCCATTGATAATACATTCCCCCCTACGATCAGTATAGAACCATTTTAGTTTAGTGATTAAGGCATCAGTCTAGAAATTGGGAAAGTGGGATTCTAGTCGCATCTTCAGCAAAAAAGCCAGCCGGGTGACCTCAGGACAGCCACTGTCACTCAGCCCTAGGAAGGAGGCAATGGCAAACCACTTCTGTAAATCCTTGCCAAGAAAGCTTCAGGGACTTGTCCGAGCAGTCTGTGAGAATCAGACATGACTGAACAAAGAAAAAAAAAGTAATCAGTGTAATGTATCTGAGAGTGGCTCCACCATCTATTGACTGCCACTTTTCTAATTCAAACCCTTCCAGCTTTCCCAACTTTTTCTCTCAGAATTTCCACTGATCAATTACTGCATTAATTGGCAAGCAGTGACCTGACCAAAACTGTAAGATAAAATCAGGAGCCACTGGCTCTTTGAGGGGATTACTATCTGAAACTGTAAGAGCCAGAGACCTAGTACCAGTAGGTGGGATTTAAGTAATTTAACAACCGTTTCTCTGCCCTAATGATTTCTTCCAACAACCAGTTTGCCAAACTGCTCAGAAAGTTAACAACCGGTTCTCCTGAAGTGGTGCAAACTGGTTGAACCCCACCACTGCCTAATACCCACTTAGACAGCTATCATCATTGAAGCAAAGGTTTTGATGTCTGCAGCAAAGAACAAGACGTTCCTTTCTCTATGTACAAAAGCTGAACAGATTAACTGATCTTCAGCCTCTTGTGATCAGAACATTCTTCTCCCCTGGCTTGAAAGCTATAGGACCATCAGCACCTTTAGCTCTGTCTCTTCCCACCCTTCAGCATCAGTTCCTTAAGGCAACTGCCTTCCCCTGTGTTTTGGAAGGAGCATCTCTCTGATCAAGACTAGCCCCAAAAGAAGTCCAGTCATATGATAGCTTTGGAGCTAGGGATTATTTGTTCCATACTGTCTACATGCAACCTGCACTGAGAAAACAACTCTTAACTCAGGTAACCGCCCCGAGTCCTTCGGGAGAGGGGCGGTATAAAAATTTAATAAATGAAATAATGAAATGAGGTAAACCTCTACGCTGGGTGGATAATATGCTTTATTATGTTGGCCCAGATATCCAGCAAAGAGGCACAAAACAGTAGACCATTAAGCAGCTTGCAGGAGGGATGTATATCCTATTTACACAGTATGCGGGATGGCTATAGGTGAGCCTGAGGAAACACCTGCCCAAGGAGCAGCGAACAAGGGACTAATTTAGAAGGTCATCTGTGCACCTTAATTGCCGAACGTTAATCTACCCAGCATCCTTTTTCATGAAGCCGATTGGCTTCACATAATTTCACCCAAACCCCACAACGTTGAAGTCCAGCCAAACTCCGGAGGCCGTTGCCAGCCTAACCCCCAAGTAAAGCGAAGAGTAGAGGAAGCGCCCACTTTCTGCTTCTGGAGGCCGCGAGGAGCCCGGCTGGAGGGGCTTCGGCGAGGCTACTGTTGAAAACTCACCAGCCGCGGCAACGCTTGCGCATTGCGAAGCAGCAGGTGTCTCCCTCGCCCTCTCGTCTTCTCCACCCACTCGCCCACCCGCTTCCACTCTCCTCCAATGCCATGCGGTTTCACGCCGTTCGTGACTTCTTCTGCGGGGTTTCCAACCCCCTCCCCTCCTTTCCCCCACGCTCTCTTTGCGCGGCCGCCCTGCGAGCGCTCTAGCCTACCTTTTTCAGCCAGCCGAGGCGCCTTACGTGGTGGCAAAGCGCAAGCGGCAGCCCGCGAGGCGGGGCGAGGCGAGGCGAGGCGAGGCGAGAAGCGAGAGAGGCGAGAGGCGCGCCTTCTTTCCTTCCTCAGCCTCCCCTGCGCTCCTTCGTTGCGCGCGCGCTGGCGACACCCTCGGCTGCACGAGGCGCCGCGTGCACGGACGGAGGGGCTTTTTCCACCTGCGCTCCTCTCGCGCCAGCCTGGAGGTGGCACCGCGACGGCTGCCCTGCTCCGGGGCTTGCGCTGGGCGAACAATGGGCTTGCGAGAGGCGACCGCCGCAGAAGCAGCAGCCGCCGCCGCCGCAGCAGCAAAGCTTGCTGCATAAAAAAAGGAAGCGGGGACTCCTCCTCCTCCTCCTCTCCTCCTCCTCCTCCTCTAGAGGAGAAGCCAAGGTGACCAACGTTCCGGGGGCTCGTCCCGTTGTGTTAGCTGTTGTGGTCGTTCTCTCTGTGTCCGTCCGTCCATTCCCTCATGTTCTGAACGGTGGGGAGGGGGAGGTTATGCAGATAACCGCCCCCCACCCCTCATCACCCTGCATGACATTTCCCTCGTTAACTTCTCCGCTCCCCCCCATCCACCCACCTCCCACTTCGTCCATACGGACGTTAAATGAGTTGCACGGAGGGTTTTCTGCACCCCTCCCTCCCTCCCTCTTTAAGAAAGGGCTCGGATGGAGGTGTGGGGGGAGAGGAGGAGCTGCTACCAGAGTGTTGGGAGCGCCTCGGTGTTTTTTGGTGTGGTTCCCCCCCCCCCCCTCGGTTGATCAAGGGAAAAAGAAAATGTTCCTAAACCTTTATTGCCTGTGTCTGGTTTGTCATTTCATTCATCATCTTGGCTCAGAAATGGTGGATGAGGAGCCTTTAATTTTGGGTGCTTCTGTGCCTAAGGTTGTTCTTTTAGGATCTTCTTTCCAACAGTTCCAGCTGATTTATGGCATTTTATTCTTGAGGAAAAAAGGACCCTATATTCTGTCTCTGCATTTCCCTTCATGTTTCATATGAAGGCATACTGTGTTATTTCTTTCCTTTGTTTTTTTTTCCCCCACCCCCCACCCCACTCCATGGGCAGCAGCTTTAAACCTGCTGTCTGTTCTCATCCTCCTTTTTTGCAGTCATATTGATGGAAGAAGCATCTGCTGGTTTATTTAGAAATCTGAAGTCTATTGCATGCTTCTTAATATTGCTGCTAACGAGGTGCTGAATTTATGTGTTGTTGTTTTTTTTAAAAAAATGTCTTTTCCTTGAAGAGGACGGGTTTAAATATGAACGAAGACCCGACGGTTAATTTATCGTGGCTGCCTCAGGATCCCTTAGAAACCAGCCCACCACCAGAGAACATCTCAGCTGCAGTCACCTCTCTCATTCCTTCCAGTGACCCAGAACCGGGATTTATAGTAAACCCTTGGGATATTGTCTTATGTACTTCAGGAACACTGATCTCCTGTGAAAATGCGGTTGTGGTCCTTATCATCTTCCATAATCCCAGTCTTCGTGCCCCAATGTTCCTCCTGATAGGCAGCTTGGCCTTGGCAGATCTTTTAGCAGGAATTGGATTGATCGTCAATTTTCTTTTTGCTTATCTTCTCCAGTCGGACTCTACCAAGCTGGTCACAGTTGGTTTGATCGTCGCCTCTTTTTCTGCTTCTATCTGCAGTCTGCTGGCCATCACTGTGGACCGGTACCTCTCCCTTTATTATGCTTTGACTTACAATTCTGAGAGGACGGTGACTTTTACCTACATTATGCTTATTCTGCTCTGGGGTGCTTCAATCTGTGTGGGAGTGCTGCCAGTCATGGGATGGAACTGCCTCAAAGATGAGTCCACCTGCAGCGTTATCAGGCCCCTCACTAAAAATAATGCGGCCATCCTCTCGGTCTCATTCTTACTTATGTTCGCTCTCATGTTACAGCTGTACATTCAGATCTGCAAAATTGTGATGCGCCATGCTCACCAGATTGCCTTGCAGCATCACTTCCTAGCAACTTCCCACTATGTGACCACCAGAAAAGGAGTATCGACTTTAGCCATTATCCTGGGAACCTTTGCTGCTTGCTGGATGCCTTTCACACTCTATTCCTTAATAGCTGACTACACATATCCCTCTATCTACACCTACGCCACCTTGCTTCCAGCCACATACAATTCCATCATTAACCCCGTTATATATGCTTTCCGAAATCAAGAAATACAGAAGGCACTTTGGCTTATCTGCTGCGGCTGCATACCTTCAAACATTTCTGCAAGGGCCAGATCACCCAGTGATGTTTGATTAAGAGAGCAGAGGACCGTTGTCTATTTAGCATTGTGATGTGTGAGCCCTGCTGCTCTCAGTACATTGTACATAACAGAGTCACAGTCAGTCTGTGGGGAGTATTTACATTTAAAAAAAAAAAAGCCTGTTGACCAAAATAAACCATGTTGTGTAAGTCCAGGAACAATCCTGGAAGTTGCAATTTTTTTTTTTTTCTGGCAAAGCTTAAGTGTTGCTTAGATTCTGTCCTTTAGTTTCTTCCAGGATCCAAAGAGGAGTGAGCTCTGTGGATCGTAAGAAATGGATTGGTAGATTTGCTTTCTCTGTTTGTTTGTTTGTTTGTTTGTTTGTTTGTTTGAATGAATGGAAGCCCACTGGCATAAGAGCTGTGTGTATCAGATGAAGGGTAATAGAGGCAGAAGGCCTATTATATCAGATTCTATGGAACACAATAGCAGATGGCAAGAGACTTTGTCCTGCTCTTGGATTTTCAGGTGGCATCTGGTTGGCCACTGTAAGAGCCGTGTTAGAGCTGAGCTAGGTGAACAGTGGCGAAATCCAGCAGCATGCATGATTCCACACACACTTCAGATTATGTATCTTGCTTAAAAGACTTCCATGGATTTCAACAGCACAGTCGTTACCTTGAGTACATGTGTGTCTGATGCACTGTAGAGACATGTTAAGATCCATATTCTAGCACACAAGTGATGTTCCAATCTGCAGTGCTTTAGTTCTTAAAGCATCACTATTGATTTGGTTAAGAGTTTCCTCTCCAACCAATGCAGTCCAGAAATATATGTTAGTCTTTCCCTTTTTAACATCATAACTTCAAAATATAGGAAGCAAGGCACAAGCAAGGGTGAAACAAGACAGGTTTGGGATCTGTAACTTCCAAAACCTTTTCCAGCCCTCCATTGTATTACAACCTGGGAGGAATAATTAAACCAGCTAGCCTAAATAATTTCCATCCCAAATGCCTGCAGAAGAGACAAAAAATGTTGAGAAAAGAAAAGGCAAGAACAACATCCTTCTTGACATTCATCCTGTTATGAGTTTGGTTGGAGCCTGGGTTTCTTGGGAGTTCTGACATTTAATATGGCTTTATTAGAAGAGCAGACAAAATCTGTAATTTTGAGCAAGAGACAGCTACTGAATATTTCACTAATAACCCAAGACTTCATCCTGGGATCTATATTCCCATCTGAATTGCAGATGAATGGAAACAGATACCCTCATCTGTATAGTTTATCGCAGACGGGCCTATATGGTTTGGGATAGCTATAGGGATGAACCTGTATTTGATTTCTATCAATACTTCCTAATCCTGCCACTCAAAAGGAGCTGATTTAAAACAACAACAAAAAAACAGTAGTCCCTTTATATTTACAATAGGGAAACTGGTCCTACAGATAGTTCTGGGTAACAATTTCCATCATCCCCATCAGGATGTTGCCTGGGGTTTATGGAAATAAAATCCAACAACAATAACATACATTATGCTAGAGAACAATTCCCATAATTTATCTAACAAGCAAAAAATAAAACAAAAGAACAGCCTCTTTCCAAATTGTTTACACAACTAAGAATAAATTATGTTGTTTCATTTTTTTTTTTTGCTAAAAGAAACATTCTTTTCCCTCTTTATTATTTTTTTAAATGCAAAAGTCATAACTTTATTAATATAAAACTAGGCTGTAAATTCAGTGAAAATCTAATAACCCGGGAATACGTTGATGCTGATGATTATAAATCCTGAACAACTCATTTTGCAATAAATATGACTGTTATGCAGAGCTTGAGGTCCAAATATTCAGAATTCCAGACAGATTCAATTTTTCAGGTGGTGTTGCCCACATATATGGTGACAAACCATTACTTCGGAATGTTTAAATTGACAAACCTACTACTTAAACTATCTTATTCACTGTTAAATAAACAAGGGCATGCAAACAGATTGTTGAACATTTTTTATATAGGGGCAGCTGGTTATTTTTCTAAACATTCATTTTTAAGGCTCCAAGAACAATTTAATGACATAAGCTACTTAATTTCAGCATTTTATCTCCATCATCAATATGTAATTGCTCTGTAAAATATGCGCTGAATTGTGTGTGTATGTTTCATGACATTTTCTTTGTTCTGGCTCCAACCTCAAAGCTTGACATTTTCAAGTGGGAGCACATGTGACCGCCAACCCCCCATCCCACATAATGAAATGTGCATAAAACATGTTGTCTAGTTTAATAGCTACATATCCTTCATATCAAAGCACAATACTGAATGCATATTATTCCATTTCCTTCCAGGATATTAGCTTTTTTTTGTGATGGATGGAGCATATTGTCATGACAGAGGGTTCAGTGATGCAAGGCAACATAGTTGATTTCTGTAGATGAGAACCTTTTGGGGCCCAGAGCAGGAAAAAATGATTTAAAAATTGCATTCTATAAAATACAGCATTTCAAAGCCATTGTCATGCACACTCACTAAAGTAAATGTGACTTAGTTTGATGGAAGATAAACACATGTATTTGCTGTCTGAGCCAGGGATGGCCAATTTCTGATGTCTGCATCAGCGAGACTTCCCAGCTATAGGCTCTTTGCTTATATATTTCACTAAGCAGAACAGAGAAACCAATCTGGAACAGTGTGTGAAAAAGATCTGAGCATCTTTCCAGTTTGAATTAATTGGCTTTTTTTTCCTAATTGAGATTCTCCATGGACCAAATCCAACCGTATATCTCTTACCTGCAGCCTTTTTGCACATATCCCAAGTCTGCTACAAATTTTGGGGAACAGGGAGGAGAAGGAGAAGTATGATCCACCAGTAATGCCTGTTGTGCTCCTGGAAGGATTATGCCTTTGAACTCAATCTTTGCTTCCTGCCACATCAGCAAGGGGGCAACTGCCTACATCTCTATGTCTCCATGCTATACAAAACACCATCTGTTGAATTTTGGCCTATGGGGAAGCTGCTAAAAACATATAAGCTCTGTCAGGGAAAAGGTGGCACTGCTTTCATGCAGCAAAAGAAAAGGGCTGATTTAAGATTCAGGAATTAATTGGAGCAAAAGTCTGTGAAGTGAGGGAGGGCAGTAGAAATGTCCCTAGACCCCCAAATGTCAATCCAAGAATGATGTCTGTCCAAGAATATGATTGCTATGCATTTATATGAGTTTACACATCTTCTGAATGTTAAAGATATGCTATATTGTTGCAGTGGTATCTTTCTGTATAAATTGTTTAAATTTTAATTGTAATAGAAGAAATATTGAAAGTTATATTTAAAAAAAATACTGGTATAATATTATAGATGGAAGAAGATGCTATATTGCTGACACTGAATTTTATTAACTCAAGGGCTGATTCAGTCAAGTGAAATTGTGATAGGACATTCTTCTAGTGCAGCAGGAACTATTTTTCCATTTTTTAGGTGAAAAACCTTGTACCTAATTTGTGTCCTGCCTGGAGCGCACTCTCTTGTGTATAGCACTGCTTTTCACAGGGCGAATTCCCTCCTACCTTCAACTGAAGGTTGAGGAGGACCAGGAGTGCACCTTCTCAAAGAAACATGTTGGAATTGGTTCTTAATCTTTGTCTTTTGATGTGGTTATGATGATGAACATGTCTTTTGTGGCACGTTTCTATGGTGTTAAACAGTTTACAAGGTCTACACAAAACCAATTCTCATAGGTGTGAAAAGGCCTCGTTTTGAGACCATAGGGCAATTTTTCCCAACATGGTGCCCGCTAGATATGTTGGTATTTCCATTTTCATAAAGCCCAAGCAGTATGGCCAGTAACATATCTGGAGGGCAACAGGCTGGGGAAGAAGCGCCCATAATGATTTGTACTGCAATAACCTAGATTTTATGCCAAATTAAACTCTGGTTTGTTTGCTTTTTTCAACTTGAACATTGTAAGGACTTATCCAAGTGAATGTACTGAGCTTGTCATTTACTCCAGACGCACAGATAACTAGACCAAGAATCCACATCTCAAAATTGTAATGTGTTTCTGGGTGTACATTTGTACTATATGGAAGTTCTGATCGTTTCTGGTTTTACTCTAGGAACAAAGACATTTGGCATAATGCAATCTAGAAGAATGCTCTTGATTTTTATACAAAGTGTACCAAATTTATGATGTATGACAACTATATGTTAGCTTGTTTACTAAATTAAAAAGTCAATTGATTTGAGTTTGTATTACCCTGATAAAGAGAAGGAAACACTCTGTTAAAATGTTGTAGAAAAAACTTTTGTCTCTCTCTTCCTTATGTGTCCAAGAATTGGATGTACTGTATTATCTATGCCTTGCCAAGGAAATGAATAGCAAAAACTATTAGACAGGAATAACTATTGCATAATGCTAAATCAGGACAAAAAGCTATAGTAAATGAGGAAATATGTTACTCTTTCCCACATTCCTTTTCTTCAAACTGTAGTTTGGTCCAGATAAAGTAGTAATCAAGGACAGATGAGGGACTATAGCCTTATAGGTATCATTAGCCTTATTCTGTACTTTACAACCCATAGATAGTACAGAACAGAATATTTAATTCTCTGCAGCTCTAGAACCAAACATGAAGAGTTGTAGTGCTGCAAAACCTGAAAGTGTCATAGTTTCCTACTTATGGGGTAAAGTCTATTGGTTACCAAATGAATGAGCCTGATTTACACACTTTACTATAATCACAGTTTTATCCCATAATGGCAAAAATTTAGTAGAAGCTAGGGAGAAAAATAGAGTATATAAGTTTGATGCTCATTCATATACCACCATCATGATACTGTGTGTGTGAGAGAGAGAGAGAAAGATTTATCAATATTTTTTCTGGGTATTTATTTACTTATTCGTAATGGTTTCTTGTGATTGAATTGCAAGACTGACTTAATTAACTGTAAATTCTAATATGGATGAGCACACTTTAAAAGAAAACTCAGTTTCTCAAGAACTCTTTGGCTAAATTCATACATCAGCCAGTTCATACTTCTAACTAGCTCAAGGTTGATTCAGCCTTCCATCCTTCCGAGATCAGTAAAATGAGGACCCATATTTGCTGTGGGCAATATGCTGACTCTGTAAACCTTAGAGCTAAGAAAGGGCTGTAAAGCACTATGAAGCACTATAATAAGTCTAAGTGCTATCAGACTGAAACATGGTTTGTTAGCCCTGGTTTATTAAACTATAATTGGATGGGTTAACTCAATTGATTGAGCTAAAACCAAAACAACACATTATGATTTATTGCAAACCTAATTACTGGGTGGAGTGGATTTAAAATTGCATGAAATAAATACTTGCCAACAAGAAGGAAGTATAGTATATAGACACATTTCAAATGGAGAGAACTTGATTTCAGCTTCTATAATGTATAAGTAGGGAATGTATCATTTCCTTAGCCTCCCAAACTGTTGGATTGGAGTCACACATTTCATTCTTAGCTTGACTTAAATCACTCAATTGGAAAAAGATTGACCCACATTGGAAAGGTACTCCATTTGCCAATGGAGCTTTGGTGTTCCAAATTTAGAGTTGCAAACTGGAAGAGGGGAAATTAACTCTGCTTGCCTATGGTTTCATCCCTCCTAATAATCCACTTCCGCACATAATTTGAAAGGAAACCTGTTCAGGCACTGCGGTAGCATTTTTGACTGGGCTTGGGCAGTGTACTCACCAGTTATCAGCTATCATGACCTGTAGTTCATTCTCATGTATCCAATCCTTCTGTCTCTCCTGCTAATGTAATTGCACAGCAATAGCATGGCTAGGCCATTCCTCCCATGAGAGCAAAACTGGCAGTTCGTAAGTTTTATTTTACTGATGCAAATGCTGCCATACTGAAATTTAGAAAAGAATGTTTACAGAAAACCTGCCCAAATAATGGTTGGTCTAAGTTATTGAGTAAACTAAAAACATAATTACCATTATTGCACAAGGTATTTTGAATATCTTTATTCTTATCCGTTATATGTGGACCAGTTTTAATGGGTACATATGTCTTTTCAGAACATCAGTTCTACACCTAAGCAAGGCAATGGAATTTTAATGGGGAATATGTGTATTCTCCCCAATCACCCCAAATGGAAGTCAAAATGGAAACTGGCAAAAAGAATAGTTGTATTTTCACTTTACATTAAATTACATTGAATATGCTACATAGGAATATTTCACATATGCCATCACATATGTACTCTTACCCAGCTGTGTAAACTGGTTCTAAATGAATTTTATATGTTTTATATGTATTCATTTCTAAGACAGAGCCCTTGCATGCTTGGCATTGGCAACTCCCCTTTCTTACCAATTGAATCTTTCATCCTGCTGTGAGTGACTAAGCTTTTGAGCACTATGCATTCCCAGATGTTCAAAGCCATGACTCATATCTTAATTTTAAAGTATCAAGATCTCTCTCTTCCCCCCCAACACACACACACTGTTTGGAATATGGAAGGAATATGGCAAGCCTAAAATGGATTGATTGACTAGATTGTGTGCCTTTAAAATGTTAAAAGCAAAGTAGCTGAACAAACATAGTCCAATGACATATTTTTATTTTTAACCAATTCTTGAAATATGTATCATATAGCTAACTTCTGATTGGTTTCCAAGTGAAATAGCAAGATGCCAAACTGATAATTTAAAAAATGGGATACTTTTTAACCATCAGAAGAGTCTCCATCTATGGAAAGAGGAGAGTTTTTGTTTTGCAAAATTTCTCAATTTCACGTCTTTCCAAAAGGATCTGTGGGATCCTGTGAAAAAAGGGATAAGATATGGGTCTGAAAGACGAGGAGGGAGCAGTTGACAAGGTTGCCAGATGAAGTATTCCATATGGAAAGGGGTTCAGTGGGTCACCCCCCCCAGAGAATCAGAGAGGGGAGCTGCAGTCAGATCAATATTACATCATAAAATATAAGAATATCTAAGCAGCAGAGCCACCTGGAATGAGTGAGACCTAACTAGGTAATCCAAAGGATTCTGAAAAAAGATGCTTTGACTGGCATCCAAAACCCAGTAAGTAAGAAGCTAGGCATTGTAAACAGAGAACATCTTGCACCATTGTCTTCCAGAATTCAGGTGAAATTGTTTGAAGAAAGCTGTACCAGCCCAGGGGGTAAGAATCTGCATAGAAACACATTGCAAATACTTGTTGAATCAGATGTGTATTTATTGTAGGTTCTCACAGTGTATTTTATCCTAAAATAAATGAGCTATAACTTTTATGGTTGCAATGGATGGAAACTAATCAAGGAGAGAAGCAACCTAGAACTAAGAAGAAATTTCCTGACAGTTAGAACAATTAATCAGTGGAACAACGTGCCTCCAGAAGTTGTGAATGCTCCAACACGAAGTTTTTAAGAAGAGATTGGATAACTATTTGTCTGAAATGTTATAGTGTTTCCTGCCTAAGCAGGAGGTTGGACTAGAAGACCTCCAAGGTTCCTTCCAACTCTGTTTATTCTGTTCTATTCTATTCTATTCTATTCTATTCTATTCTATTCTATTCTATTCTATTCTATTCTATTCTATTCTATTCTAAAAACATTGTATTTTCCAGTTAGAGCTGCTGGCGCTAACTTCAATTATTCGAAAGGCTGTCACAAGGATGATGGAACAGATTTAAGTTCTGCTGCTTCCAGGCATAGGATTCAACACAAGGGATTAAAATGGTGGGAAAAACCAATTTAAGACAAATGTTAAGGAAGATTACTAAATGGACCATGCACACCGGAAGAAATAGAAAATCAAGTTGGACACCTATTTTACAGGAGGTTTTTAATCAAGCTTAGGTGCAGGTAGTCCTCAAGTTACAACCACTTATTTTGTGACTGTTCAAAGTAACAGTGCTACTGAAAAAAATGGCTTTTGACCAGAGGTGGGATTCAAATTTTTTTACTACCGGTTCTGTGGGCATGGCTTGGTGGCCGTGGTATGGCTTGGTGGGTGTAGCAGCGGAAGGATACTGCAAAATCTCCATTCCCTCCCCACTCCAGGGGAAGGATACTGCAAAATCCCCATTCCCTTCCCACTCCTGGGGGAAGAATATTGCAAAATCTCCATTCCTACACCACTCTGGGGCCAGCCAGAGGTGATATTTGCCAGTTCTCTGAACTACTCAAAATTTCCACTACTAGTTCTTCAGAACCTGTCAGAACCTGCTGAATAGCACCCCTGCTTATGACTGGTCCTGCCCTTACAAATATAACATCCCCAGGGTCATGTGATGAAAATGTGGGCATTTGGCAACCAGCATATATTTACAACTGTTGAAGCATCCTATGGTCATGCGATTGCCATGGCTTCCAACAAGCAAACTGATTTTGGGGGAAGCTGGATTTGCTTAATAATCACATGATTCATTTAACAACTGCAGTGCTTTGCTTAGCAACTGTGGCAAAAGAAGTAATAAAATTGGGATGGACACACTTAACAGCTGCCTTGTATGCCTTGTAAGTATGTTGGATATCAAATATATAATTTTAAAACTTCCTGAGAGTGATATTCTTGTGTCTCTTCCTGCTTTGAACATTGAAAATCCAAAACCAATTCCAATCAATGTCATTCCCTTCGAGGAGGATCTGGGTTGCTGTTAAGACCAAGAACAACTGCTATTAGGAACTACACCTAGATGAATGTTACAAATGCAAATCTAGTGGTTCCCATGCACTAACTCTGCTTTCTTCGTTTTCTGCAACTGCATTGATGTACAATAGAGGGTACCAATTGGAAATGCCAATTAGTGATAAGGTGATAATGCAAGACATCTGGAAACATCAGGCTAGAGAAGACTTAGATAAGATCAGAACAGGCTCTTGGTGTAAGGACACAACACTAACAATGAGAGTAACTTCACCTGGCGGTCTGAACTAAAGAGTGAAAATACTACTTCCTTGATATGTAAAATACTGATTGTGGTGTTTTGCTGAATCCCACTTTTTGTGAGTCACACTAGTTGACATTCAGTGAGCTAGATTTCGAGATGATGTGTCAGCAGAAGCCTCCGATGGCAAAACAGAGCATTAGGTGCAATGCTGAGATTCTTCAAATATCAACATGGTTTTACATAAAATGTTTCTTTTTGCCGCAAAGAGAACTCTTAAAAAAAAAAAGAACATCGTTGACCCACATATGCCATATCCAGCAGAAAAACTTCTGTAATGATTTCACTTGGTAAAGCAGAGGTAAGCTAACAGG